TATGCTGGTGCATGTAGTATATATAATAAAACTGTAGTTTCTTTCCTCAGTTTCTAATTCATATTTGTTAAGATCATGGGCATGTGCTGCATGCTGCCTGACCTGGAAACGTTAATAAAGAATGCTGTCATTATGCTTATTAGTTTCGAATTGTTCTAACTAATGAATAGATTTTGGAGTCAAACTGGACCAATAGACTTAATAATAGAATATTCGTGTAGAATACCAATTCTTGTCGTCGATTTTACTCAACTCTGTACTAAATCCAATATAGATGGCAAGAATGCATTGTGGACCTCAATCACAAATTACCCATCAGTATTATGGTGGCAGTGTTATCTAAACTCGGTCATTACTGTGATTCAGATTATGAAAGAACTGTTGTACATTAATGGCTTAATTATCTTTTGAACTTACTGAAATTTTTTTCTTTTCTTGTTAAGGTAGCATTCTTATAGATGTTAGGATATCTTAAGATGTAAATGGATAGAACCACATATTTTCAATTTTACAGTCTGTTAACCTCCTTCAATTCATAAAGCTAAGCAATAAATTAAATAAGGGTTCTTTAATTAATTGGCTCCATCAATTCTACATACATTTGGTCTCCTCCTGGACTGTGGCTTGCAAAAGTCTATTTAACTTTGTCTATCTGCATCCAAATCTGAGAGCCTTGTTTCAAAACCTTAACGCTTCTCTGTCCCTGCTCCTCATGTGGCCTTGGGGACTGTCACAGGACATATATATAATATAATCCCATATATATATCATACTCCCTTTAAAAACACGAGTTCGAGAAAATCTTTTTATGGTCAGTATTACCATTAGTTTTTTTTTGAATATTACATTGTTATTCTAATTTATTCTAATTTTAATCATATCTTATCTAATTCCACGTGAACTATCTATAGGTCAACAATTTTAAAAAAAAGTTATTTTGAATATTTCACTTAAATCTTAATCTATCCAAATACTAATTATATCCTATATTTACTCCATATGAACTACCTATAACTCAAAAATATAAAAAAAATAAGATTAAGAAATTATATGTAGATAACATGTTATAATACATGAAGTATTATAAAAAAACCCAAAAGTTTCAAAAATTGCATATAATAGTCATAAAAATTTAAAATTACACAAAAACACCTTGACTTTTTAAAACTAAAAAACAAACATGATATCTCAAAATTTAAAACTTCTAATTAACACCCTCAACATTTTAAAAATTATAGAAACAACCTCAAAATTTAAAGGCTAAATTACATTTATATACCCTATGTGTTTCGCTCCTGAAGTAGTTATATACCCTAAGTTACAAATTATAGCAAAAAAATACCCTGAGTTGACAAAAATTTACAAGTTGGTACCTTCTGTTAACCAGCTGTGAGAATATTCTCTAGAATATTCCCACGTGTTGGACCTATGACCAACTTGAATACTTCTTACCCTCATTTATTGTATTATTTATTATATTACCTAACCCCCTCTCGCGCAAATTAGATTATTTTCATCATCATCATCTTCTTTTCGTGGCCTCCAACTTTTTCTTCCTCTTTAATATGGGTAACAATAGAAAATAAGAGCTTTCACTATGTTAGGGGGTTAATTCTTATGGGGGGGTTAATTCTTAAGGAGGGGTATTATTATCCTTTCATGTATTTTTTAACACCGTTAGCTAAATTTAAATAGTTACCAACTCAGGGTATTTTTTTTTTGCTATGTTTTGTAACTTAGGGTATATAACTACTACAAGAGCAAAACAATAGGGTATATAAGTTATAACTACTACAAGAGCAAAACAATAGGGTATATAAGTGCCATTTAGCCATGTTTAAATTACAAAAAACATTCTAAAATTCAGAGAATGTTTAAATTACAAAAAACATTCTAAAATTCAGAGATTTTAAAACTTAGAAACAACATAGATGGATTCTAAGAATTACCATTAGGCACATAGAAATTTAAAATTAGTAAAAAAATAACCTCGAAGGTAAAAATTACAAAAACTCTCTCAAAAGTAAAAAAATATTAAAAAATCTGATATTTTAAAACTTATAACTGGTGCACATCAAGTGATATTTTAAAACTTATCACCAATACATGAAACATGAAAATTATAAGCGCCCAACTTAAAATCTAATTTTTTTATAAAATACTATCAAAGTTTAAAAATTACAAAACACACCCTCAAAAGTTTAAATCACAAAAAGGCTAAAATTTGGCAAAAAAAAGGAAATGTTTGATATTATTATATTAAGATATAAATAATAGGTTATCATTAATTGATTATAATGTATAAACATTTATCTCTAATGTTGATAATATTTATTTATAAAGTAAAAAAAATACAAGGAGTTATGTATGGAGAAACTATCAGAAAGTTCAGAGATATCCTTTAAAAGAACTAAGTTGTTTTCATTTCAAATGGAGAAGTGAAGGAAATAAACTCAAAATTTAAGTTGTTTTCATTTCAAATGGAGAAGTGAAGGAAATAAACTCAAAATTCAGAAACATTCATGAATCACCTGAATTGACATTGATAAAAAACATATCGAGCAAAGAAGCACTAACCGAGTTCTCCTTGAAGAACATATTGAACAATTATATCCTAATTAAAAAATATTATTCATGAAAAGTACAAGAAAAATTAGTAAGTACTTATAAATTTTCATACTTTATTCTAAAAATACTGAAGGAATCATAAACTTAATATAAAATTTCATATAAATAATCTTGCAATAGAAACTAAAGTGAAGCCATTGATCAACTACATTGTGAGATATAATAAACTAGATAAGATGGGAAAAATCACTATAATGGACAAAAAAATGCACATAATACTTAGTTACCATAGTGTAAGTAAAAAAATTAAAATTGATATTTTTCTTTTTTTTATATAGTAGCACAACTCTGCAAGTATTCTTATTTGGGGATATGACTACTAACGAAAGATCAATTTTTAAGAACACGATCAAAGATAAGCATGTAATAGTACTGTCAGAGTTCAAGATCTTTAAATACGAAGGTAACATATTTTACAACTAAAATTCTTATTAAAAGCCACTAAATATAAAATTCATCTTATACATGTCTTAAATATGTATGAAAGATATGCATGTCATCGTAAATTATATTAATAATATATCAACTTATTGAAGAAATAAGAGATAGATAAGCAAACCAAGTAAACATCCATATAACACGATAAAGAACAAATATTATACTTTAAAGCTAATATGCATGGCTCATTCAGAACAAGCTGCTAAAACAAAAGCATCTCCATCAAGGCTCTTTATAAATACAACACAAATTTAAATTATTTAATATTTTTAAAAATAGCTTAATTTTTTGAGTAAAATCAGGAATCTTTAGAAGTGTTTTTTATGAAATCTTTTAATTTTTTATATGGTTATGTTGATGCTTTTATCATATAAAAGTATAATAGAGTTAGCATTAATCTTTATTTTATGATTTTTCTAAAGTTTATCAGTGATTAGTAACAAAATTTATATTCTCTTTAGTGTCATTCTAGCACACTTTTAATTAATCATCTTGTCTTATTGACTTTAATTATTCATCATTCTTTTATAACATTATCTTTTCAAGTGTTTTTCACTTTTACAACATTATACCTTCTTAAGCCAAGCTTGGTTTCATGCCGATCTAAATAACGCGAAAATTCAAATTAGCTTTAGATTATAGTTATTTCTTGTCAATTCAGTTATTACCTAAAAATTTTAAATTTGGTGTAGCACATTCAAACAAACATTAAAAAAATAATAATCACAATAGTACAGTTTAAAAACATAAGTGAGAAAAACAATCAAAGTGAAAATGAGAAACAAATTTTAGTAAAGAAATAAGTAAAAAATACTTAATCATAATATTTAATCACGTGCATTGCACGTGCATAAATCCTAGTGTGTGTATATATATATATAATAGTAGTCAGTTAAATTTCAAATTTAGCCATTAACTTCAGTTAATCTGCCTCTGCTTAGTTTCTTGTTAAAAAGAAAAAGAAAAAAACAAAACAAAACTACTTATGCCTACAACAGCTGAGAATATGCTTATGCCGTGTGGTCTTGTAATTAAGTCTATATCACATGAGTATGTGTCCATAAAGAATTGCCATTGGCTCGAAGTGAGGCTAAAAGTTCATATAGCAATTGCAACATTATTTTGCTGAAAGTTTTTTTTTTCTTTCATGAAAGTGTTTTTTAAAATACAGGTATTAAATTCTTTGCACTTTATGTTTCTAGAAGCTGAACTCTGTTTGCTCAATAACCTTGTTAAAGCATACTCTCATTGCTCAGTTTGCAATACTGCAGGACCCAAATTCCAAGCATCTTGGCACCACTGTTTGGGATGCATCAATGGTATTTGTGAAATATCTGGTAATAACTAAAGGTCTTTTGTTCACCTAGGGACCATGGTCTATAATGATTGATATCATATATGCAATTTTACTCAAAGCCTAGAATCGGGATTAATTTCATGAAGATATTTCTGAGAATCTTCTGTTTATATGAAACACTTCCCTTTCAACACAATGCAATTTACTTTTAGGCTTGTAAGCTTACTTAACTTAGGGGGTAATTTTGGGGATAATGGGATAATTTCTGGAACAATACTTTTTAGTGTTATTCATTGGTGTAATTGGAACTGGAGCCAAGTTTGTGGTGTTATTGGTTTGTTGGGGTAATTGTGGGACAAATACCCCACTTTCCCCCAAATTACCCCAACTATATAAAGCCCTCTTACCCAGCACCCTCAAAATTACACCAAATTCATTGGTGGAACAAAGATGGGGGTAAACCTTCCCCTGATTCTTCCTCCCTCCTCCTCTCCTCCGCCCTCTCCCTCCACCTCACCGCCGCCCTCAACCACTTCCTCTCCCTCCTCGCCTGCCGCCCCCAACCTCTCGACCCGAAAGCCCTCGCCTCCATCAGCTACGCCCTCTCCTCCCCCCACTCATACGACGCCCGATTCCCCCGAGTTCTGGTTTCCTTGTTCGATCTGCAAGCAGGTCGCCTCACCGTTTACCTCCCAATTCCTCGCCGCGATCCTCTTCTTCCATGGATCCGAGTACGCCCTTGCCGCTTTTCTTCCACGGCCGATCCAACGTTGCCCTCACCTGTAAAAGTACTTTTTGAATCTTGTAAAATTTTGGAACTTTTTGTTAAATGTTTGGCTTTGGGCATTTTGCAGCGCTTTTGATCAGTAAGCAGTATGTGATCGCCATGGCTTGCGCTTTGTTTGAGTACTTGTCAGAGGCGGTTCTGTTTCCAGAATTGAAGGAGCACTGGTGGATCAGTGGCATTGGTGTTTTGGCAGTTTTGGTTATGGAGGGTACATTGGCTATAATTATTGTTATTAGGGTTTTGATTATGGAGTTTTGGCAGATTTTGGAATCAAAGACATGTGGGATCCAATTTCTTTTCGGTAAAATTGTGCGAAGGCCCAAAAACAAAAAACAAACTCATGTGGGATCAACGACATGTGCCCTTCTAATTACGGAGATGTATGAATGATTAAAATAATCTCATTTAGCATTTTCTAATTAATATTTTATATTATAACTATTATTTATTTAATCATTTGATGTTATATCAAGTTAAACTTGAATTTAATTGAGCTATAAATATAATATTATAAAAAGATGTCATACTAAAATTATCCCACTCAAATTGTCCCATTACCCCCATTTTACCCCACTTTATCCCACTCAATTATCCCATTGGGTAAAATTACCCCATTGGAACAATTTACCCTAAATTACACCAAATTACACCAACGAATAACCCCCCCTTATGGTTTTCTTATTTCTGTTCCTTTTAATAATATTTGTCTTTCCCAACTTGGTATAATATAAATTTGCTTCTGTTTTAGTCTCTTATTGCTATTTGAAGTTGTTACAAACTCCTAGTATTAATTTGAAAGACACTATTCTAACACCAAAAATATCAGATTGGAAATTATTTTATCTCATGGTAGTTATTTGGTCTTTGTTTGTTTAGGAAAGGAATCGCAGAAAAGGCAGGTTCTGTGCTTCGAAGCTGAAAGGAAAACGTGCCATTGAACTTGGAGCGGGCTGTGGTTTAGCTGGACTTGGTGAGTATTCCCTACAGTTATTTTTGTATTAAGCGAAAGATAGGTTGTACGTATTATAATTTTGGTCCAAGTAATGATGTATTGCATTTTCAGGAATGGCATTATTAGGATGTAATGTAGTTTCGACAGATCAAATTGAGGTGTTACCATTGCTTATAAGAAACGTTGAACGTAATACTTCTCGGATCGCACAGGCAAATACTGATTCAGGTGCGGTATACACTTTTATAGGCATATCATTGGATGGTGTTGTAGAGGATGAGTATTACATTGACAAAAACGGGTAAATTACACTAAACCCCAAGTGAACTTTCAGCGTTTTGCGGTAAACCCTTACGAACTTTCAAAACCACACTAAACCCCCAATAACTTTTCAACCCCCAATAACTTTTCTGTTTTGCAGAAAATCCCTATAAAATTTCTGCATCTCGCAGATAATCCCCATAAATTAGAACCAGAAAACAACAAAAGCCATTTTGAAAGTTATTTGGGGCTCAGTGCAATTTACCCAAAAGATATTGGGGGTTTTCCGCAAAAATCATTGGGCTTTAGTGCGATTTTGAAAGTTCATAGGGGTTTACTACAAATCACTGAAAGTTTATGGGGGTTTAGTGTAGTTTACCCACATAGAAACATTGCCTCTGAATATTATTGTAGTCTTCTCATATTTTTTTTCTTTATCTTTCTAGAGTTATTTGGTTCTATCAAGGTCGAGGAGTTGGACTGGGGAAATAAAGATCACATTAAAGCTCTTGATCCTCCATTTGATTACATCATTGGAACTGATGTTGTAAGTTCTTTTGTTGGTTGATTATTTGTTTCTGAGAAAAAAGAACTGTGATGTTAAATACCATTTAATCTTGAAATTCTGGAAGGTTATTTACTTGTCAGATGCAGGAAGCTAATCTAGTTTCAGCTACTAACTTAGGAGAAAATTTTGAAAACCAATCCAAATTCTAGTCTTGTAGAGCTGCCGTCTAGCATTTTCTTTCCAAACGGGTCTTCAGTCATTTTTGGACTAAATACTGATAATGAGCTGGGAGAGTTCTCATCTTTTAAACTTGAATATAAACCAGGTTAGAATCAAACTGTATTGCAACCGAAAGAAACCTACTTGTATCCTTGACTGAATGAATGATGTCTCCTTGCAGCATCCCCCAGATTAAAAACACATGATATGGTATGTTTGAAACTATTAGATAGTAATTCTTGTTGAATTGTGTTCGGAAGAACATAATTCCACAATTCTGTTTTTTTAAATCCGTCTTGTTTTTATCTTCAGATTTCTGTATTTCAAAATCTTGAAGTTGTTCTAAAAAATACCTAAGATTTGAGGGAAATAGACAAATATTATTTTGTTTCTTATGTGCGTACTTCCCTTTAAATAATTCATGTGTTTTTTTCCTGTCACTTGGTAACTTTCCTAGATTATGATAGGGCAGACAACCATTGCTATTAGTAACGTTGGCGATGTTATTTATTACAACGAAGAAAATTCTCTTATAATATGCCAGGCGTCAGAGTTGAGACGCTTGTGAAATCATTTATTAGTACTTATTCTTTGCTTCATTTGTATCCATGGCATCTATCAAAAATATGAACTTCAATTGTCCAATTGAGATGGAAAAAATTATTATCTTCGATTGATTAAAGGTGTACGCGGAACATCTATTGGAGCCACTATTGCAGACTATTTTGGGCTTAGCGGGCCCTAGAACAACAATACTGGTAATGCTTACTGTCATGCTACTTCATTATCTAAAATTTCACTTTTATGTTCGAAAAGATGACTAAACTGTCCTTCAGTTAGGTTATGAGATCCGGTCCAACACAGTCCATGCCAGGATGATGCAGATGTGGAAGAATAATTTTGATGTAAAAACAGTCCCAATCACGAAGGTATTAACTTGTGTTCAGTCTGTCATTCAGCCAGATAACTAATGATTCTGGCACTTTGATGGATATATATCCCTGGTCCTATTGCTAGTGTTAATGGATCATATGCTTGTCTTTTCTATCACTTAAAACAGTAGGACAGTGCAGCAGCTATGTTTCTTCGACTTTATTCAGGTTGAAGGAACGATGGAAATTGTAATCTAGTAATGTGATTGGAACTTCTTAGATTGTATATAGATTTGTATGCTACTGATCCGCACTACCTGGGAAGATACTGCCATTTTTGGATCGAAGTTAGGATTTTGTCATGCCACCCAGAACAGAAAGTATGTATATTGTAAACGGGGGTTTGTGCCCCCCCTGATGCTAGTTGGTGTGTCGATGATGTGGAGCACATCCAAGCCCCTACAATAAGATCATCTACATGCCATGATCATACTTGATGGCTTGAATTTGTGCCACATCAGCAACACACCAGCCCTGTTTTTTCATTACGCACACAGTCCTCCTTGCATTAACTAACATATTGTGGTCATGTGACAGTACTCTAATCTTAAACAGTAGGATGATGAAACAATTTCCTATTACTTGAGCTTAATTTGGGTTGAAAAAAGGTAAAGGAACTTCTAACTTGATTAGAATTGCCTTGCTTATATATAAGGGTATATGCTGCTGACCTCAAATATTCTGAAACTCTACTATTTTATTCCATTTGGTTTTAAACTGTGGTCTAATTGTCTACCTTATTTGTAGAGACCTATATTTCTGTCAATATTGTTTTTAGATATTCTTTATTCTTCTGGTTCACGTTGGATGACTTAAGACTAGAGGTGCTAAACCGTATCCGTATCCGATGAAATATCCGTAACCGTATCCGTTAGGATACGAATATGGTTACTCAAATCTATAACCGATAGGATATGGTTATGGATATGGTTTTGTAGTGAAATATCCGTATCCGTATCCGAAATATCCGAATACATATTAGTCATACTCTTACGATAGTTTCGATTCTTAGATTATGGATTTGTGGTTAATTTTGATGATCAAGATGACTAATCTTAACTATTTAGTTATAATGGACATATTAACGAACTTTTTTGTATCACATGAACTATGTTTTTCTCAATACTATCTAGTTTTCTCATATCTGTTTTGTATCCGCATGCATATCCGCTTATATATCCGCATGTATATCCGTAACCGTATCCGATTTATCTTTAGAAACAGGTGTAGAGTTTTGAAATAAAAATCATGTGACTAGCATGATGATTAAACGTTCTCATTATCCTCTTTGAGGTGCAGATGGATGTCAAGTACCGTCACCCCAGCATACAACTTTATATAATGACGCCAAAAGCTCAAACTAAATGCGATGAACTCAAGGTTCCAGGATCCGACCAAGTTGATTCCGAGGTTGTCGAGAGTAATGAAACAGAAGAGAAGGAAGAAGCTTGTAATGAGAAGTCAGTTGACGGAGAAATTCCAGAAATTGGAAGCGATAAAGTTGATGATTGGGAGACGAGAAGATGCGGAGCTATGGCTGCTAGGCTTCTGAAGGATGTTAAGATAGCGTGAAATGCTTTTGCTTGTATTGTACGTGATATTGTCAATCTTCAAGTTAACTTTGAACTTATTCTAGGTTTGTCAGATTTGGTGTTTCGAACATTTAGACAGCAATTTGACTTGAATATGGTTCAGATTGATAATATTGATGATGAACGGTCAGAATTGTTACGGCAAGTGTTGTCAGTCCATTTTCATGTGTTTCATACGGGAGTCAAGATTAGAAATGTTGAATATTTGCCGCAATTTTATAGGAGAAACTGAGGGACTTCCTGCGTTGTCCTACTAAAAATATTTGTGGAGTTTTGCTACAGGGACCTAAAATATGAGATCAAGAGGGGAGACATGTGAGATGTTCCCCGCCTATTGCATAATGAGCTGGTCATCATTAATGGTTGTCAACTCATTATGCAATAAGAGGGGGACACCTCATCTGTCCTCATTGTTGGTCTCATATTTTGGGTCATTGGGGAATTTTTTATATTTGTGGGCTCATTTGATAGGACCTTAACACGCTCCCATATCTAAATGATGGATTTGTCTCTTATGTTTTTTGTGTTTTCCTTCTGATCAACTATTAATTACTAATTAGTAACCTATTAAACTATGCAGTAAACAATTCTAGTATTGGGGAATTCATTTCTAAATTCACTTGTTACCCCTCAAACTTCTCTATTAGCGTTCACACTCCCTAATCTCTCAATGTAGTTATCTCTTCGTTGTTGTTTGTATTTGTATTTGTATTTGTGTTATATGAGGATATATGTTCAACACTCATAATAATAATAGTACGTGATTTCTCTTGAAATATAAGACAAAATTTTTACAACATATTGACGTCGCCAAGACATCTATGTAACAAGTGTAGTCTTATGTATAGCTAGCAAAGGAGATAGTTCATAAGATCAAAATGCCAATGAAAAGTTGTGGGTTTCTGTCATATTAGATCCCTAAATCTTTGTAAATTCCATATCAGGCCCCAATCCAAAAAGTTATTTTAAAGGATTTTTTTTTAAAATAGACCACTTTTGCTAAATATTTAGCAAAATAGACCACTTTGCTAAATATTTAGCAAAATAAATATTTTTTGGCCAATAGGCCAAAAAGAGGTCGATTTTGAAAAACAAGGCTCAGAAAACATATGGGACTACTAGTCCCATATGTTTTCTGAGCCTTGTTTTTCAAAATCGACCTTTTTTGGCCTATTGGCCAAAAAGAGGTCTATTTTACTAAATATTTAGTAAAGTGGTCTATTTTGCTAAATATTTAACAAAAGTGGTCTATTTTAAAAAATTCCCCTTAGTTTAAATAAGGCCCATGCATCCAACAAATATGAAGATTTGAGGGACTAACATGCAAATAAATAAAGTGTTGCAGATCTAACCTATAATACACCCTCAAACGTTTAGGGGAAAAAAAATAAAGGACAAATTTTCACTTTAGCGCAATTCCGAAACTTATACTCAAAAAACGATCTATTTGAAAAATATTTACCAAATTCGACCCAGTTTCAGTCAACTGGCTGAAACTAGGTTGAATTTGGTGAAAAAAGCTACAAAACTTCACGGGATTTCAAGTCCAAAGTCTCGTGAAGTTAAACCCCCCTTAAACTTGATTATCTGTCGCTTAAACTTCACCGGACTCTAAGTCCCGTAAATTTCTGTAATTTTTTTTACCAAATTCGACCCAGTTTCAACCAACAGGCTGAAACTGGGTCGAATTTGGTAGATAATTTCTAAATATGTTGTGTTTTAAGATTAAGTTTGTAAACGGGCTGTTTTCGAAAATTTGTCAAAAAATAAATACACAGCGTGACCCCTCTTTTAGTTTCAATCGGGGGAGCGGACGTTCGTCATTTCCCTCTCTCGTCTCTCACTCTCGTCCCTCACTCTCGTCCCCAGAACCCTTGAAACTCACCAAAAACAAGAAATTTAGGGTTTCTATTTCCTTCTAAAATTACCTCAATTGGTCGTCAATGGAGTCCGGAACCGTTCTCAATCAAACTGGTCACAGATCCGAAATCAACAAAGGTAATTCTCTCTCTCTCTCTCCGTCGTCCATCTCTCTCTCTCTCACCCCCCCTCCTCTCCCTCTCTCACTCTCTCACAAAGGTTTCCTCGTAAATAGTCAAAATTTGATTTTAGGTTTCAGAGCTGTCCCCTGAATTCTACTTCGATTTCGGATCTGTTTAGAGATACCAAAAATGGTGGTGAATCACAAAAAGAAGGAGACTATCGGATATCCTAACATTGTGGCTCTTCAAGGGTTACGAGCGAATGAGTGCGCATTTCAAAGAAGAACGGGTCCAGTGATAATTGTATGTGACAAAGAGTACCTAGATTGGCAAGCTCTAGAGGTGAATTTTGAATTCTCCAATTCGATTTGCTGTTTCTGATGAGTTCGAACAATTCTTGTCCCTTCTCTCAAGTAATTTGCCCCTAATTCAGGAGAACTACTCTACGGAGTCTTGGGAAGAAAGTAGGATTGTTGGGCTGAAATTGTTCTGATAATAGTTTTGTTGCCGGTTCTTGTTAATATAATGCCAAATCACCATCATTTGCAATACTACACACACACCAATACTCCCCCCGCTCACCCCCCAAAACAAAAAAAGAAAAAAAAGCTGTACCCCATTAATTACCGGCCGAACTGAAACATTGTTGGGTTTTTTAAACAGTGAGAAGGTTAAACATTTTTCAGGCTTAATAATACCACACAGAAAAGTTAGGCAATACCTGTGAAATATTCCATAATATAACTTTTGGGGTAGTTTAACGTCAAAAATTGTAAATAGGAAGGTGAATTAGCCAATGACGGGTAAATTTTGTAAAAACTGTCAATTATGGGGCTACACATGAAAAAAAACCTGCTGCTTTGTTCCCGTCTGGCCCAGAATTTTATCGGTTCTGCAGTATTATACTTTGTTGATGGACATTGGTTTAGATTGGTGCAGAAGAAAGTAGATTTATGTAGGCAATATAGATTGCACGAAGTTACGGTTGACAGTGAGAAAGCTGTCAACGAGAATCGGGATGCTTGACGTGGCCAAAGTTCTCAGATGCCTATCATTTGTTACTCTTATCTTCAAGTCCTAAAGTCATCCCCTTCCTCGTAGTTATTATTTTCTCGGCCAATATAATTTTGTGCTCATGCGCTCGTTTCGTTGTGCAGCGAACCTCACCTCCAACGTAATAAGAGAGAGAGAGTTCATTGTGGTAAAAACCGTATATTTGTACAATTTAAACTTATGATTGTATAACTAAAAGAAAAAAGAAAAGTGAAACTGGTTTTGTTGAATGCAGCTGCAAAGGCTTGCAACAGTGAGGCTTGATGCCACTGCTGGCATACTTCAGATTGAAAGTTGTGGTCATTTGGATGTAGCCCAGAATATTATGTGATCAGATTGGAATTAGAACCTTACGCGGAAGTATAACTGTCTTCACTATTTTTTTATGCTTATCCTTTTTATTATATGGAGGAAGAGAAATGAACAAAAACTGAATGCATAAGAATTAGAATAATGGTATGCACAATAGCCCATCCTGCTAGTAGGGAATATATCGTCCTTTATTAGTTATTTATTATCGTCTGTTGTTTTAGAATGAAATGTGTGTAAAGTGGCCCTTCCCAGCTTTAGCATATTCTCGACCCAGCGAAAATGATAGGAACTTCTGGTAAAATTATTTTTCAGGTCCCCATACTCAACGTCGTAAGAGGATCCAGCTTCATCATGGAACTACCTAAGAATCAATCTTGACCCAGAGAAAAGTATCATCCAGCTGATGTGTCTTAGTGCCTATATCTGACTTCCCACGCGCTCGTTGGCAATGCTAAGAGTCCCAGTGTGTTGACTCGCTTGGATAGGTTAGGTCCTGCTGCCGGCTAAAAGGAGCAGCAAGGGGCAGGGAAAGGGTAGATGGAGTGAGAGCTGTCGGCGAGCTCGCTCGCGGGTGGGTCTCAGGCGCCATGCTGTGTTACATTCGTGCGGTACTGTTTCTGCTTGCGGAGGGGCCTGACCCCGGTCCACTGCGTGTCAGGCAGGTTGATCTTAGGGAGCTGGAAGGCCGCTGCAGCAGAAGGTCCAGTAGTAAGGTGTGCAGTGCATTGCGCTTGTGGTGTCATGCGGCATTAGAAGCTTGGCTAATCGATCGTTAACCGTTGGCGCGCGGGGCTTTGAGAGAAGTATCCTAAAATCACCATGCTTCTTTGTCGGCATTCCCCTTTAAACGGGAATAAGGACCGACATGGGGAGTAAGCTACATTGTCCATCCTCAAGTGCCATGAAGTTCCTGACACTTCCTAGTAATGGAGGTTCTTGTAAATATCTCCGTGGAATTCTCGTTAAAAGATATCGGAAACGACTACCGGAGCACCCGCATGCTGACTGGGTGCTCAGCGGGAGTTGCCGAACTCATGGACTACCTCACCCAGGGCGAATCCTGGAGTGTGTGAACTTCAACAATCGGAGAGCTCTTGGTGAAAAGGCCTTGTTCAGCAGGGGATTGGTTTGTCCGTATCTTCACGATGCGGCCGGTGCGATCCGGCTTTAATGGGCCCGGCGCGGCGGCAAGGTCACCGGCGTTTTGAAATTTTGGATTGTATTAAGTTGGCAGGATTGGCAGTCGCGTAGGTGAAAGTAAGGTGTGTTAAGCACCAGGTCCGTCTCTTGGCTAGGTGTGGCGCCACTTAAAGACCTTGACATCGTTGTCACAGTTGAGGCGTCCCTGGCCGTCAAAATTGCCGTTAAAGAGGTCGTCTGCATCATCGGGCATTGTAGGAAGAGTCTTTTGGTGCTGTTGGGAAGGGCAGAGATTCCTCTTCTGTAACACATAATGCAGAGTCTTAGGTGTTGCAATTGCATATAGTAGTCTCAAAGCAGACCTATTCATTTAAGGGCCGGATAGGCCTGCCCCGCGTGGCATAATGTACGTTATTTTGTCGTCACACGAAGGATTGAACAGCATCTACCTTGAGTTAGGCTGGCTATTCTGTCCGAACCTCGCCTCGCTCTGTATAATGTATTAAGCTGCGGGAGGTTGGGGATGGTCGGCCGTTGGGGGCCGTGTGTCCGATCTGGACCGCGACAGTCGCTCCGTGGGAAGGAAAATCTCTGTTTTGTGGTATTGTCTGTTCACGCGTGCGTAGACAGAGCAAATATGGTAGACCAATACTGAGGTAAGTCTCATAAGGCCAAAATAGCTGATTTAGTAATACATAGCCTGCAGGACTGGATGTAGAGTTCACTATAAAATGGCTAACGGGAAGTTGATTTTTACAATTTGTTGAGTATATTCCTGGCGCGCGCTTGCTATTACTCATATATAACCCACAATGAGAACCTTCTCCGCGCTAGGAGAAGAAGATGCACAAGTGAACTGTAGTGGATAATACCGAGCTGCAGGTATGTCAGACTAAAAGCTCCAATCGTGATCTTGGATCCATTGTGGAGTTTCTGTATTT